TCGCATTGGAACCAGCAATGTGAGGTCTCTTAAAAGGGACTGCATGTGCAAGTGGCTGCAAAGAGTCGGAGGCTAATCCACAGAGCGTTACTCAGCTAAACGCTGTATGAACTATTTTTTTTTTTAGGTCTAATATTATGGTGGGCAGACACTGCACTTAGAGCTGGATATTTGCAGCACTGGGATTTGGAGCGCTTATACAATCACGTTTATGTTGTGTTTGGAGGACTGATTACATTGTATGGACACTTGCAAGTGAATTTGTGTTTGGCATCAGAGATCCCAGTATACTGTGTTGAATTAACTTGTAAAAAATGCAGTGAGCGCTCTCAATAATTAGCAGCTGAACATTCAAGGAAAACGCATAAAAGTCCCAATAAGTATATATATAAGTAAAATGCAGCGCTATTAATATATCATAAATGGTTAAAAGGATAATAAGACACAGTCCAGTGAAAGGTGCTCGTTGATTCCCGATGCAAATGGTAGAAATGCGCACTAACCAGAAGCGTATAGGTAATACGCATGTGAATAAATATCCTGAAGATTCCCCTCTCCTTTCTGGTCTGATCACGGGAATAGCTGGAAAGAATGAAGATCAAGCGCCCTCCTGTGTTGAAGATGTGGTCCAGCAGGTCAGAGAAATCTTTGCCAAGATGTAGTTCCCCCTCTCAGGAGCTGACACAGGAATCACTCAGGGCGAAAGACATGTCGATCTTGTCAATGACTTCATTCATGTTGGCTGTTTGCGGCACCATCCTGGTGTCCGCCTAGAAGACTCCTTGCACAAGCCGGCTTCTCTCCCCGCGTATATGACAACGCTCTCCCTACTTCTACTACAGCTCCAATCTCCCGTGACTAGGCCTCAACCAGCAACTCAGGGCAAACCGGAATCACGTAATCAGAATGTTCCCCCACACTGCCCTCTGCTGGCCCCGAGTACTCATATTATATTTTTCATATGTTGTATGATTATCATAATTGGTTGCAAGCATGTCTGCACTAATATGTTATTTTTGAGATTAACATTCTCGGCATATTTGTTTATCAATTTTGTAAAGGAATAGCGCACCGTTTTTTTTCTACACTTTATATGTTTTTGCTTAAGTGAATGAATACACGGATTTGATGGTTGATGAAGTTCCACATACATATCACAGCAGACTATTGTATATATAGTTATCTTTTGGTTGGATATCATGATTTCCAATAGTTATATTACTTTTCGGGGGGGTTGAACTCATAGCGGGTCATACATTTTTAATTTTTTGCAAAATCATTACTGCTTCCAGATTAATTTATCATAGAAGAGATGGGGGAACTGATGTTCCTCATCTCCTCTGTGTGAAGCTGTCAGAACCATGGTCTTGGGCTACCCAGAGGAAAGGGAGAGCCCAGGAGCCACCACTGCAGGGACAGTCCCTTCTTGGAACTGTAAAAATGATTGGCCAGCTATTAAGCCACCTGGATCACTTTTACTAAACAAAAAAAAAAAAAACCAAGCTGTGGCTATGTGTCTCCAGCAACCCCCCCCCCCCCCCCAGATCCCCTGTGTCTCCAGAGACCCCCCAGAGCCCCTGTGTCTCCAGAGACCCCCCAGCCTGTGTCTCCAGAGACCCCCCAGAGCCCCTGTGTCTCCAGAACCCCCCAGAGCTCCTGTGTCACCAGTAACTATGTCTCCAGTGATTCCCAGTGCTCCTGAGTCTGTAGTGACCCCCAGTACTCCTGAGTCTCCAGCAACACCCATACTTCCATCTCCAGTAATCCTCTGTTTTCAGTGACCCCCAGCGCTCCATAATCTTCACTCACCCTCCATGTCTTAAGAGACCCCTAGAGATCCTGATTTCTCAGCAACTGTCTCCAGTGACCTCCAACTCCCCCAAGTCTCTAGAGGCCCCCAGCTCCCCCGGCCCCCTCCTCCCCAGAGTCTCCGGTGGCCCTGAGAACTCCCAGGTCTGCAGTGTCCCCAGTGCGCTTGTGTCTCCAGCGATCCTCTTGTGTCTCCAATGACTCCAGCACTCCTGATATTCTGGGGACCCTCGGTGTTTCCAGTGACCTGCACATTCCTGTGTCTCCAGTGACCCCAATGTCTCCAGGGACTCCTGCGCTCCTTTGGCTTCAGTGATTGCTGAGCTTCCCGTGTCACCCAGAGAACCTTGCATGCGGTGACCCCAAAATATCCTGTTTCATACTATGCTCTCGGTACACCCTGAGTGCCTACCTGACACCATGCAGTCTGAGGTACTATCCTGTATTTCCTGGACTGTTTCTCTGTCTAAATACAGACCTCTGTCCATTACAGCACAATAATGTAATTATGAAACGGCAAATGGGAATACATGGGAAGGTCACTTCAAATTTTCAGTTACAACCCTAAATCTGCACTAAGGAGAATAGTTCTGCCTTGAAAACAGCTAATAAATACATATATAGAAAGTTTCAGCACAAATTGTATAGGTGAATTTACATCAGTGAGAAGCATAATGCAACAAGTGAGCCAAGGTCACCATAGCACACCAAGCTGGGTAATGCCCATTGTTGGCTTTGCTGGGAGGTGACAGGATTTCAGATTCCTCTTCTAAACAGCATCCTTCTATTGACTTCGTCTCTTGTGTTGCAGTCTGAGGTCTCACAGAAGAGGTGATTAATGAGCGTCTCTCCCCTCCTGCCGGTCATGGTACAGGTGTCGCCTCATCCCTCTTGTCCTGTGACACCACAGAGTCAGAGTTTATCTGGTTTGAGGGGAATGAGGTGTCAGGTCCACCATGAGTGCCATTAATCCTGTCTGAGTGAAGCTGTGATTTATGAAACCTATTACTCTAATTATCTTATCTCTGGAACCACCAGCACTCCCTGTTTAACAACCAAAGTGGCAAAGGCCAGCCTCTATAGGGGCTGCTGACTCACTGGAATTACGGGAAGGTAGTGCCATGACAAGCAAGATGACCATAACAGCCATTGGCTCATTGACGCTAATTGTCTGATCTATAATAAAACAAAGGCATGGGTCTGTCTGGTCTGAATCAGTCTATGGAAAGAAAGGGGGTGAGGTTAAAACCAGTCCAAAAATCAAAAACAAATGTCCATTTTCCAACCATCCTCCCCTACACCTAGCTATTTTGTCTCTGGGGCACTTTTACCAGTAGAGTTGGACAGCTGTCTAAAGCGACTTCAATGATCATTCTTGCGTAGGTCACTTGCCCAATGTCCCTCCTAGGAGCAGCTGAACCTTGAAATGGCCAATTGTGGCAGCCAATGGACAGGGTTTAAGTCAAAATTTGACATGGACATTGTAGACTGGACCTTCCCACACTAGAAAGGAGACCCAGGACCTGGCCTGTCGCATGACCATGATATCAGGTGAGTAAATAAAGCTTTTACTTGAGATTTTCTTTTTCTGCAAGACCTTTGCCTGAGTTAAAGTTGAACACCAGGAAAATTAAAAGCCCACACGGCAAGGGTGCCTAAATGGTTAGCACTTCTGCCTGGCAGTACTAGGGTCACTGGTTCGAAACCCAACCCCGGCACCACCTGCTTGGAGTTTGCATGTTCTCCCTGTGACTGCGTGGGTTTCCTCCGGGTACTCCGGTTTCCTCCCACACTCCAAAAGACATGCTGGTAGGTGAATTGGCTCCTGTCTAAATTGTCCCTAGTATGTGTATGTATGAATGTAAGTTAGGGACTTTAGATTTTACACCCCTTGAGGGTTAGGGACTGATGTGAAAGTACAATATATGTATGTAAAGCGCTGCGTAAATTGGTGGCGCTATACAAGTACCTGTAATAAATAAATAAATAAAGGCTGAGTGAGGCCTTTGTCACCTAACTAGTTCCCAGTGAGTAGATTAACCTGCGATCAATGGTTAAGGGTACAGAATGGCAAACTCTTGCGCATTTTTAAGTGTTAGGGCAGTTTTGCTCACCCTTAAGTCTCCCAAATGGGAAAAGACGGCGCTATAGAAGTACCTGAAATAAATAAATAAATATCTAGGGGACATAGAGGAGTAGTTTTATTTACCCGATCCTCCATACTGCAGGTCTGGTTCAGGAAACTTCTTATCCCCTGTTTGAGTTTCCAACCCTCTGTCTCCAAAGGTGGCTCCAAAAGTGATTTGTCTATCCCCAGGATGAAAGTCTTCAACCCTCTGTCTCCACTGATGTCTCAAACAGTAATGCATCTGTCCCCTGGTTGAAAAATTTCCACCCCTCTGTCTCCATGGGTGGCTCCAACAGAGATGTGTCTATTCCCTGGTTTAAAGTCTCCAACTCTCTGTCTCCACAAGTGACTCCAACAGCAATGTGTCTATCCCCTGGTTGAAATTCACCAACCCTTTGTCTCCACAGGTGGCTTCAACAGTGATCTTTCTATACCCTGGTTGAAAGTCTCCAACCCTCTGTCTCCACAGGTGGCCCAAACAGCAATGAGTCTATCACCTGGTTGAAAATTTCCACCCCTGCATCTCCACAGGTGGCTCTAACAGTAATGTGTCTATCCCCTGGTTGAAAGTCTTCAACCCCCTGTCTCCACAGGTTGCTCCAACAGTGATGTGTCTATCCCCTGTCTCCAGTGGAAAGTCCCCTGGTTAAGTCCCCCTGTCTCCATAGGTGGCTCCAACAGCAATGTGTCTATCTCCTGGTTGCATCACTGTTTCTAGGTGCAATTGTGTCCCATCTGGTAGCCAAAATGCAGAATTCAGCCAGGACCTGTTTCCGAAAAACACCAAATGGCAAATTGAAATTCTACACAATGCAGTAGAAGAGTTCCTGAGCCCTGAATGTGTTTGTCCTTTGAGGACTTTGATGCTCAAGTCTGATTTAGCTTTGTAGACGCTCCTCTCCTGTGCTGAAATTTCTTTACTCTGATTTTATCACATGCTGTGAGCTTCTCACAATGTACATTAGAAGCTGCGGCAAGGTAGAGGCCACTTCCTTTTCTAGAAGGAGGACATCCAGCATCATCTGGCCTTTTCCTCACCTCCCCAGAAGATATGATAACTTACAATGAACTGCTCGATATCTCTTTCCAGGCCCATGTTTGGCAGATCCGGCATCATGTGAGACACTACTTTAAACCCAGCGTCTTTAGACATGTGGAACGACTCACACACTGCTTTCACCGTGTGACCCCTGAAAGAGGAAGAAAAAAAATACAATTTACATCAATAGTTATAAATTTTAGATCTTGTCCTCTATTTATAGAAATCAGGAAAAGATCACATGAGAATTCTAATACATGGCCCATGTTGTTTTAAAGCAGTATAAAACCCAAATCAGTTACATCAGTTTGCTTTTCTTTTGTTCTTTCCCCTTCTGTTTTCACCTGGAGATCTGTTTAGTAAACATACCTCCTGTATTAGTGAGCAGATTTGAATACAATAACAAATTGAAGCCAAACTCTAGCTTACACTTTATAATCAGTTACAGCAACATTTTTCTGTTTTCTTCCTTTTGGGATAAAGGTTTTACATGAATTAATAAAAGACGATCATTTTAATCTCCCCTGCCAGTGGTAAGTGGCTTGTCTCATCTATGTAAACTGATGCATTCTGCTGGAGAGTTTGAGGTTCTGAAATAAAGACTTGCTGGCTGATTCATCAGATGAAAATACAAGAAAGAAAGCCAAAAGAGAAAACTAATGCAGCCAACACAATATAAGAAATGTTTGCTTCTGGGCTTAATACCACTTTATAGAATCAGCTCACTTTAAAGAAATCGCATCTATTTTCAGACCCGGGGAAACATAAGTCGGGACCTTGCCATGTCGGACTCTCAGACTTTTAACTGGCCCACCATCTTCCCAGCAATGCAGAAAAGGCTTAAACCAAGGTTGAAAAATACCCACCCATCCCGCTGAGGTCTCTGCTAACATATTACCAAGATTGTACTTGAAGAGCAAAGATAAGAAAACGATCGGGTTGACCATTCCTAGGCCACCCTCCCGCCTGGACAGGTAAGTTACCATTGCGTTTGATCGGGTTCAGCCAATTTCCCCATAACAGTTCGAAAAAACAGCTGTAGACCCTTGCACAGAGAGATACCGGCAAGATACAGATGAAGCTGACATAAAAAGATCGGAATCAGGTACATTTTAATCAATTCAACCCTTTCCCTCAAGGAAAGCCTCCATCGCTTCCAGCTTGCTACTTTGGCATTGGTATCCACCAACCTGCTTTCCCAATTTCGATCACCATAGTCACCAGGAGCAAATTTGATGCCCAACACCTTAATTTCCTGCTGGGGCTCTGGGAAGGTATCCGGAAGTTTGAAGCTTTCACCCTCCTCACCCATCCAGAAAACTTCACTCTTTTCATGGTTGACTTTAGAGCCAGAAGCCTCCGTGTACTGCTCTATCACAGAGACCACCTCCTGCGCCTCCTCAGTCCCAGAGATAATAACAGACACATCATCAGCAGAGGCCACGATCTTCAAAGGTGGCGCACCAACAATGCCCAGAAGCACCCCGAACAATGATGCACCCTCTAGCCTTCTTACAAAGGGGTATATTGCGAAAGCATATAGCAGGGGGCTCAATAAGACATCCCTGGCGCACACCAGAGCCGACCTCAAAAGGCCATCCAACCTAACCATTAACAAATGGGAAGCCCTCAGCCCCTCTATATAATGTCTTCAGCCAATCTATAAACTTCCCCTGCAGGCCGTATCTACCAAGTAGAAACCACAGATATTCATGATTCACTCGATCAAAAGCTTTTGCCCGATCCAATGCCAGCAAGTACTTTCTCCATCCAGCAGCCCTGCATTTTTCCAAAGTCTCTCGGACAGCCAAAACTTCTGAAAAGGTACTTCTACCTTGGACTGTACAGTGCTGATGGCTTGACAAAAAAAAAAAAAAAAAAAAATCGCCTGCTAACAACGAGCACCAAAAAAGAATCTTTGCCAAGATCTTTCTATCAACATTAAGAATGATGGGGCACCAGTTCTCAATCATTGATTGGTCTTTACCTTTTGACAGAAGAATCACAGCGGATTGCCTCATGGAGGGAGGGAGCGAACCCTCTTCTAGACAGCTGTTAAAAACCTCCCCTAAAAAGGGAGCCAGAATGGACTTAAAACACTTGTAAAATTCAGCTGTCAATCCATCTGGCCCAGGCCATTTTTTGGTAGCCAGCTTGTCAATAGCACAAACTACCTCATCCGCATCAGCTGCCTCATCTTCTTTATTCAGCCTCTGCAGCTCAGTCTCCAATCCTGGCAGGTTATGTAGTGCCTCTGGGGACTGACTATACGGATGACCCAGCTGCTGGCACAAATTGCACTGAATCTGGGTGCATTCTTTGGCCAAATGGTCTAAATCCTGGCACAGTGAGCACTTCTTGATGGTACAGAACGATGAAAAGTGGCCTTTCTCTCCACATTTATTACAAACCTTAGGCTGACACTGATAGAAAATTGTCAGCCTATCCCTCCCAAGAAAAGCTGAGCAGGGCAGGTGCTGAACCACATTGCCCAGCACTTCAATTGCAGCGGCACCTTCCAGGCCCCTGTCCATATCCCATGCTCACCCAGGACCTTCCACAGTGAGTTGAGGACCTCACCATATCGGCGTAGCCACACTACCAAATCAGCCTCTGGTATGGATTCATTATGGACCAGGATTGTCACCGATTTTCTCAAAGGCTGCCTTGAAACCACCTTTGGCGCCAAACCTCTCCACTGCTGAAGGCCCCTGCACTTCCTATGTCTCTTTCAAAAAAGATCCACCTTCAGGTTTTACAAATGACAAATCATATTCATAACTGCCAACTGGGCAGATCAAAGCAAATACATCAGGGGCTTTAAACCTCATCTCCAGAACAAACTCAGCCACCCTCCCCCTTCCTGGTGGGGTTCCCTCCCCTCCCCCCACCCACTTCAGCTGCACAACATTCCTCCTCTTGAACCCACAAACCATCCCACCACCAAACCTCCCCAATTTGTGACTACTAGGATTTGCAACATTCCCTCCACCCCCCTTGGTGCGACTCCCCAAAACAGAAGCATCGCTCCCCACATTCCTCCCAGCAGCAGAAACATTTGCGTGTCTGGGAGCATCTGGTACAACTCTAGCAGATACCGATTGCACAAATACGAGATTGGATGGTGAACCCTCTCTCTGTTGAGCAGGGGGAGAAATGTATTTTTTACTCGTCAGCAACATTAACCCCTTCACCACCACCCACACATCCAGTGCTTTACCAGTTTCACCAGTCATATTATTTGATGACACATTCATAGACTTGCTAGCAATGTCCGCACTTACTGCTGCAGTAATAGAAACTTCAGCTCCAGCTGTCATCTCCTCCTCCAGGACAGAACTTTCAGCCCAGGAACCTGTAGGCTGTTGTCAAGGTCCTACCTTTTCCCTGAGGTTATGTTACTCCATGTGCTGGCGTCCATCTTGGATTCTGCTGTGCATGATGGGAATCCTTTTATGCCTTCAGGTTTCTGTGGTCCATCCCCCAGAGGGGTGTGGCTGATGACATATAAGCCTGTGGCCCGCACATGCTCTTTGCACTTGTGTCTTTGTGTCGCTATTACTCTGTTCTGACTCTCGTGGCTCTCCTGGTATCTCATTCGGCTTGTGACTTGACTATTCTTTGTATTCTCCTTTGATCTGACCCTCTGTTGCTGAACCCGGCTCGTGACCTGTGATTCTCGTCTGCTGTCCTGTACTGTTTTGTCCTGTTGTTGTTGACCCTGGCTTGTCTGACTACTCTTTTGTCTCTTCCACCAGCTACACGCCATTGGCGGCGGCCATTACCGCAGCTGAGGTGTCTCGGGGGCCGCGACCTGGTTCCTGGCTGCGTCAAGTCCATCCCCACCATCAGGGGCCCTGGTGAAGGGCAGCCTGGGACTTAGACTCCGCGCCCTGAGGGACTTCGGTCTGTGGGTGGTGGTTGTCGTCAGCCAGTGCGTTACATTGTTAGGCCTGCCTGTCCGTTCCTCAGCTCCTGCCCTGACAGCTGTTCAGACACAGCAACAGGCAAAATATCACAGACATCCAGGTCTGCGGTTTGCTCTCCACATGGTGCAGTGTGCTGCTCCCCTCCCCCACCAGCATCAATTAGCTCTGGAATACATGGGAGTTCAGGTGCAGCAGACTCCTTACAGCCAGTGATCATCTTGCAGCATTCTCAGAGGCACTACTGGTCTCAGCAAAGGCAGGAGCAGCAAAATCCATGTCCAAGGTGTTTGGTGAAGATCCATCCATATTTCTCTGATGGTCTGTAGACATCTCTGTCAGCGGTTTTCCCTCCATGTCTGCAGAGGGTTTCTCCACAACAGAAACGTCCACAGCAGGTTGTTTGCAGAACTCCTTCTCTTTCTGTTTTTCAGCCAGGACACCATCCACCACAGCCGGGGGGGACAGACATGCTGGAAGCAGCCATCTTGGTGTATTGGGACTTCTCCACCATTACTGGGTTTCCTAGTCTGTACCTCCTCTGTCCATCCTCAGGGACTTTTGACGGATCATCAGAGAGGGCAACCTTGTCTTCTCTCAGGGGTGACTCCATCTGCTGGATGAATCTTAAGGTTCCGTGCTCACTCTCAACCCCCTGGGTGGTTGCCACTGGCGATTCCGCAGCTTGACTTGGGGGGGAGAGATGCTAAGGTAGATGGATCCAGGTCATCCGTTACCTGAGGCTGCTGATCCACAGAACTCGCTGATGTCCGGCTGGCAAATCTCCTCTCATTGTCAAACTTTTCTGCAAAGCTTCCACTTCTGGCTTTCAGGTTTTCCAGTAATAAAGATTGCTTCATTACTTTTTCCTCCATCTGCTGTAGCTCCGACTTCGTGGCCATTTTGTTTTTACTCCAGGGTTAGCCGTACTTGGCTCTGAAGGATTTGTGTTCAGCTTTCAAAACTTCAAAGTTTTTCCTCAGCTCTTCCAACCGCCAAGAATCAATCAATAATCTGTCTGTACACATCCACATCCTCACCAGGGCCTGGACCAACAGTCAGGTCCTCCACCTCCTCCTCCTCACTAGGCCCTGTGTCATCAGGGGGATCCCTCCCAGGGACTTCCCCTGGATCAGGCATGGTTCCTCGGCCAAGCTTGCAGGCAAGGCCCAGGCTTGAAAATACTGGTTCTCAGGGAGAGCTCCTTCAGTGTGTCCTCCTCCTT